CACGCACAAACCATATGATGTTAGCTGTGCTCCCTCTTCTGAATCATAAATCCTTTTATCGTTGGGTGTTGTCAGGTTGTCTGCTGGATAATTATATATATATATAATCAGAAGGTAACCGAACGGTCATTCACTATCCCTGGATGCGTGGCTGAAGTGGAGCACCGCAGCGCGGATTTTGCATGAATTTTATGTCTAGGGGCCATTGTTGTTGCTCCCCCCTCCGCGGTGCCCATCGTGCTTTGTCAAGTACGATGCTCCTCCCAGAGCTCGCATTATACCTGTTGTAAGAGGTACGATAAAGTTCAGACTCTCCCCCCTCGCCCCAAATGTACAACAACAGCGGCTCCCGCCTGATACGTGCTCACAGATGTATTCCCAAACAGCGCTTTCGCGCAGGCTTTCCTCACAATGTATGCCGAAATCGCGCTCTTGCGTGGGAATTCCTCACAACGTATTCAGACGCCGCGCCCTCGACACTCCGGAATCACGCTCTCGCCCTGACCTCTCTCACGATTTAATTGGGGATCGCGCGATCGCTCGAGACTGCCCCGCGATTCCTTCAAAAGTAACGCTTCAGCCACCTGCCTGCTCGACCTGGCCGCCGCGGCCTGCCGTCCTTACCCGCCCGTGACGGTCCACCCGCCCGTGATCTGCCCGTCTGGTCTCCACGCCTGCTCTGCCCCTGGCCACCCTTCATGCTATCCTCGCCCGCGCTCCATTACTATCCCTCCCCCCTTGCCCTTCCCTTCCGCCCGTCCTCCCCTCCCTTCCCCTACTGTAGGGGCTGCGCCAAATACGCGTGACAGGCAATGAAGAGAAGTGCCCCCACTGGGGGTAAGATCGAACACGAAGGGGGCTGGCATCGAGAGTTTGGGATACACGCGTTGATGGCACGCGAGCAGATACGAACGACCAATCTCAAATGATTGCTGTGCTTGTTCTGAATTGTCGCCGTCCTCGCCAACGGCCCGCCCGCGACCCACCTTGCGACCCACCCCGCGACCCACCCACGACCCACCCACATTGCTTTGACGGAATTTCGGCGCCTGCGGCGGGCGCGTTGTGTAATTTGTAAACATCGGCGGCGGCGGCGGGCTTCCCCAGGACTTTGCAGACTGCCAACGGCCTCCGCAAACTCCTCACTCTTATCTGCAACCTCGGGGGCTAGTGTACAGATTTATGTATGTACATACGCCTCTGTGGTTTTATCGAATGGTACGAGCGTGGTGTGTGTGTGTGTGTGTGTGCGTGTGCGTGCGTGCGTGCGTGTCCGTATTATAATACTTTACGTCGTGAATTACCGTGCCGCATCGTACGATACACTGCCATCTCGAGCTTCACCTTGATACGATCTGGCCAGGTATTTCCGACATATGCAGTATTGCACCCCCTTCGACCATCTCGTGCTAGGGTGTGACCTGTTCCAAGTGTAACAATAACAGCAACAACAATAAGTGCATTGAGGACCGTTCTTTGCGTTAGTCGTAGCACGGGTGAGAAAAAGGGCGAGACGCGTGGGCGGGACGCTCGGGACTCTGGGTGGTCCTGGCTGCCGCAGCCTGCAGGGCGGGCGATAATAATAAAAAAAAGGGGGCCGCGGGGGGGGGGGGGGAGGAGCACTCGGGGACACTGGGTGGACCTGGGGATTTGGCGGCCGCGGTGAGCAACGTGGGCGGATCGGGGGCCCGTTGCCCCAAACGGTGCACACACCAATCGAATAAATGCGCGCGGAAACGCGGCAGAGGAAGCGGACGGTGCAAACGGTGGCGGGGAATATGGTGGCCGAGCGTATCTTCACCTGGTCTATGTCACGATGCCACTAGATTGCACTATGCTATGTTATGGTCGCTTCTCTTCTGTTGTCAGAAATGGGCGGGGTCATTCACTGGCCGTGAACGGGTTGCTGAAATGGAACTCCGCGGCGCAGATTCGCTATGCGGTTATTGTTTGGTGTCGTCACCCTCGCCCGCAACCCGCCCGCGACCCACCCGCGACCCACCCTGCGACCCACTCCGCGACCCACTCGCGACCCACCCGCTACCTACCCACACCGCTTTGACGAAAGTCCGCGTTTGCGGCGGGCGCGTTGTGCAATTTGTAAATGTCGGCGACGGTGGCGAGCTTCTAAGAAGCCTAACAGAGCCTCGCAAGCTGCAAGCGACCCCCCGCCGCCCCCTCACGCGTATCCGCAACTGCGGGGCCATGCTATTCCATTGTGTTGTGTTCACTTCTGGAGAAACGGCATGGGAGCGATGGGACGGTCTGTTGGGTCACGGGGTGGGTGGCGGGTGGGTCGAAGGTGGATCGCGGGGGGGGGGGGGGGACGACGACAACAACAACAATTCAACGCGGCACCAACAAGAATCCGCACGAAAAAATCACACTTCAACCACGCACCCAAAGACAATGAATGACCGTGCGGTTCCCTCACGCTGACACGTTGACCTTCAAAATCCGACCTGTGCTGTTCTTGTATCAGATACTATCGTATGTTAAGAAAATGTGTCTGGCGTGCTGCCTCACATTGCCTTTTTACAGTATGCGATGCTACGCTTTAGTGTGTTAGGTTCGGCTCTGCGTTATGATCGTACACACGTACATTTATATGCTACCCGACGTGTTATAAATGCAAGTATGGCTTGTCCTGTATGCGAAGACTCGTCCTGCTCTGTGATTCACCTGTCCTGCTCTGTCCTGTGCTGTCGTGTCCCCTTATGCTATCGCGTGATGGGCCATGTGTTATTCAATTGTGATGCGTTCTCTTTGTCACTGCTCGATGCTATCAAACTCCTTCCGCAAATGCTCTCTTCTGTTCTTTTCAATGGTACTGCGCGATAGCATACTCTACTCTAACCTGCCCTGCCCCACGATAGTATGGTATGGCATCCCCCCGTCTTCTCTATTATCTTAAACCACGCGTTGTCATGGTCTGCTCTCTTTTCTTTACGATACTGTACCATTGTATGAAGTTGCGTTCTGCTCTATAGTGGCACTCCTGTTTGTAATGGTGCCAGCGTGACGTCGTGACGTCTGGGCCGTATGACGCCACGCATTTCTTCGAAGAAGCGAGACGGGTAACTCAGGGGCCACGGGTGGTCTTTGGGACAAGGCGCCCGCCGTATGTAGGGTGGGTGGGGTGGGTTGGGATCACTGTTCCTAACGATTACCAGGTCAAGCGCTGCTGTCTTCAATACTATAGTCAAAGAACGTCTGCTGACACATCTGTGCTTACACATGTATATATATGTATATGTATATAGCTATATGAGAACGTATGTGTATATGTCGACAAGCTCGTGCTTTGCTACGCTGTGTACTGTTCTGCACGTTTACCATACCATCGTACACTATACGTTCCCTTCGTATGACAGGTGCTCTATTCCGTGGTTGTGGTCGTAGGTGCAATGATGAGTTCGCGTTTGTTGTTTAATGTCGGCTTGGTGTGCTTTGCCATGTTATGCTGTCGACGTCCCCTGCTCTTCAGTGCGATAGCAAACAAGCGAGCTTAATCGAATATACAATATGTTATGATACGCTCGGTTTACTCTGTTATGTGCTTTCTGTCGTCTGAATGCTGATCATACGATGTGCTTCTCCGCCCTGTTTTAGATTCAAACAAATATGTCGTATCATGTAGTCCGTTCTAGGAGTAGTAGTCGTCGTACTAGTCGTCGTAGTAGTAGTAGTAGTAGTAGTAGTAGTAGTAGTAGTAGTAGTAGTAGTAGTAGTAGTAGTAATGGTAGTATTCGTAAAAGTACCAGTAGTAGTAGTAGTAGTAGTAGTAGTAGTAGTAGTAGTAGTAGTAGTAGTAATAGTAGCAGTAGTAGTAGTAGTAGTAGTAGTAGCAGTAGTAGTAGTAGTAGTAGTAGTAGTGGTAGTAGTAGTAGTAGTAGTGGTAGTAGTAATAGCACTTGGAATGTTACAAGTAGTCGTGGTCGTAGGCGTAGTAGTGGTAGTGGTAGTGGTAGTAGTAGTGGTAGTAGTAGTAGTGGTAGTAGTAGTAGTAGTAGTAGTAGTAGTAGTAGTAGTAGTGGTAGTAGTAGTAGTAGTAGTAGTAGTCGTAATAGTAGTCGTAGTAGTAGTAATGGTGGTAGTGGTACTAGTAGTAGTAGTAGTAGTAGTAGTAGTAGTAGTTGTTGTTGTTGTTGTTGTTGTTGTTGTTGTTGTTTTTGTTGGTTTTGCAAACGTCGTAGCAGTAGTAGTGAAAACACCAGCAATAATCGTGATAGTTTGTGCGTAGCTACTCGTAGTGAACGTAGTAGTAGTAGTCGTAGTAGTAGTAGTAGTAGTAGTCGTCGTCGCAGTAGTAGTAGTAGTAGTAGTAGTAGTAGTGGTGGTGGTGGTGGTGGTGGTGGTGGTGGTAGTAGTAGTCGTACTAGTGGTCGTGGGAGTAGTACAAGTGGTAGTAGTAGTATTGCGAGAAGTAGTGGTAATCATCGTAACAATGAATCAACAGTAGTAGTGTGACTAGTAGGAGTAATCGTAATATGTCCCCAATCAGAGTTTACCTCCGTAGGAGTCCTAGCGGATTCATCTGGTTTGGTGAGGTGCGCCGCCGATTTCGGTGGCCAGCCTCCGGTGCCTGGGTGCCTGGGTGCCCCGGTGCCTGGGGGTGCCCGGGGGTGCCCGGGTGCCCGGGGGTGCCAGGAGGTGCCCGGGGGTGCCCGGAGGTGCCTGGGGGTGCCCGGGTGCCTGGCAGCCCAATAGCCCTATACCCTTTATATCCTTATATATATAGCCAAATAGCAGCCATATAGCCCTATAGCCCTACTAGCCCTATAGCCTCATAGCCGTATAGCCTTATAGTCTTATAGCCTTATATCCGTATAGCCATACATCCGTACGGCCCTATAACCCTATCGCCCTGTCGCCTCCTAGCCGTATAGCCTATAGCCCAACAGCCCGATAGCCCTTTTGCCCCATAGCCCTGAAAAGATTAAGCTGGGGCTTTTCTCTGGCATCACGGCTGAATGATGCTTCAGCGACGGCGTCAGCACCTTCCATCCGCGGAGCGACTGCCGCGCCGCAGGCAGCCGAGCGGACCCGTCGCGGCCGAGCCGCGGGTCGCTCCACTGCAGGGCGGCCAGCATCTGAACCCCGCGCCAGTGGTCGACGCCCTCCAAGTACTGTCCCAGCATCCACTCGGAGAGGCCGAGGTCGAGCGCCGCCGCGTCCGCCCCGGGAAGAGCCGTCACCTCGCGGTCGTGGATCGAGAACCTCGGCCGCGGCGCCAGTCCCTGCTCCTCCAACCACGCGTCGAGTTCGTCGGCCAGCTGCTGGCATCGGCTCCTCGTGGTCAGCGTGCGCACCGTGCTCAGGCGGAGCGCATCCAGCGAGCCAGCTTGGGCCACCTTGACACTGCGCCGTGTCAACTTCCGCCTCTTGACCCCGTGGGCGGCCGTCGTGCCGCTCGACTCCAAGCGCGGCGGACAGCCGACCTGGGGGTCGACGAACAGCCGCTTCAGCGCTGGCGTCGATGTGGCCGCTCCACGCGGCAACCCCTGCGACATCGGCACCGCGGCGGCAAGCCTCGCCCGGGGTGGGCGTCGAAAGCCAGTCAGCGCCGACGCCTCCGTCCCGGGCGCAGCCAGCGCGCCGCAGTCCTCGCGACGGACCGCCCGCGAAGTTGCACTCGCCGGGTAGCCGGCGCGCCCCTGGCCGCAGGCCGGCCGCGGCAACGTGCGCCGCCGCAGCGCGAAGGGCGCCGCAGACGCCTGGGGCCGAAGATCGGCCCTTGCCAAGAGCCAACGCAGACGACAGCGAGTCGGATAGAAGCAAATGATGTTGCCCAAATGCCTAGGTGGCCCTGCAGATATGTTTGACCCCGAACGCGATCGCCCGGCCCCCCCCCTCCACGACGTCGTCAGGCGGAGTTCCCCACTTGTGCGATCCCGCGACAGCCCGAACAGGTTCACGGCAAGATGGAGGCAAACGACCAGCGACCAACTGGCGGGCCTCCACGCCGGCCTCCTCCGCGCCGACGACGCGCTGGAAGTCCTCGGAGCTCCCGAGCGAGGTCCTCGAAATCCCTTCCGGCGGCCCCGAGACGCCCCTGCGCGAGGTCTTCGAACTTCCCCCTGGCGGCCCAGTGGCGATGCCTGCCCAAGCCCTCGACCGCGCCCGTGCGCCGCCCAAGAGACGCCACCGCTCCGAGAAGACCCCCGCCAAGCCCGCGAGGATCTCGTCGAAGTCCTTGCAGACCAGCCCAATGCCCAAGAAGGACGCGTCAGCACGCATCGCCTTAGAGCTCCAGGACACCTGCATGCTCCAAGGAATCATGCCCAGCAAGCTTGAGAACGAGTCCACCTCCCAACGGGAGGAGTCCCAGAGGGGGGCCGCGGTGCAGTGGCCTAGCCGTCGGACAAAGGTAGACACTGAACTGAATATGGCAAGGTGCTCGCGACGCAGAAGAGCAACAACAGTGCAATGTCCCAGCGCTTGTTCGACGTCTTCCGGGTTGACGACCTCCTCAGTGTAAAGCAATCGAGCGTAATGCGAAGTCGCCGCAGCCTTGATCTCTTTGGTAAGATCTCTCTCTCTCTCTCTCTCTCTCTCTCTCTCTCTTTCTCGCTATCGGTCTCGGCTCTCCCAGCCTAAGATTTCAGCTTCATGATCGCGCATGCATACCTCATGGGTGGGGCGCCCCCCTGGGCGTCAAGGCTGCGCTGACTGGACTGACAGCGCAAGCGACAGCCTTGGGATCGGCGCCCAGGGCCAGGACATCAACAGCATAATTCGTCATAGCCAGCGGATGCACCAGCGGCGCCACGCCTTTGTCCAAGATGAAGGGCACCTCGCTCAGCTCGGGGATCGATGTCACGATGCCCCTGCGCATGGTCTGGCACCAGCGCAGCGCGTGCGACCAACCCATCGGGAGCACCGCCAAGACTGGCCAAACGCTAGCGACCGGCCCCAGCTGCTGCCCGCCCAGGCCCAGTAGCCCCACGCCGCAAGCCTTCACCGACGGCAGGGCGAAAAAGTCGCGGAAGGCCTCGCAGATGTCCACGTGGCCCACGCGCAGCTGCTCCCCGCCCGGCACGGGCGGCTCTCCCAGTGCTGAGCCTGTTGCCAGCGCAACGGTGGCGGGCTGCCGGAACCTGCAGTTGGCCCAGCGGCAATCGATCACCATGCGCTGCTTCCCAGACTTCTTACGCGCGAAGAAGAGACCGCACCACTCCCGCGGATTGCTGACGGGCGCCGCGCCAGCAGCCTCAAAGCGCTTCACCAGGCCAACGTATGCGCCTCGCTCTCAAGCTGGCGCCCATGTAGGGCTGTTGCGGAACCTCCAGAAGATTGGACTGCACCTCTTCGTTTGGGAGAATCTGCGCATGCATAGCCGCCTCGACATCGTAATCGCCCACGCCTTGAAGTAGCTGCCCGAGCGGCGCTGGCGCATTGCCGGCCTCGGGCAGCGAGACAAGGGAGTCGTCGAAGCCTAGGGCCCGTGAGCCGATGTCCTCGCACGCGCCGGCGCCGCGGAGCTCGCGGAGGGCCCCTGCAGGAGTGGGGCCAGGGGGCGGGGGGGCCATCGCAGCGGCAGCACGTCGAACGCGATCGTGCACCAGGCGATGGGGAAGCCGCTCCGCCAGGCTTGGGGCGCCAGGCGCCTTTGGCCTCCTGGCCAAATCATTGAGGGCCCCAATAACGCGGCTCGCCTCGGTAACCGCGGCATCGCGCCGAAGCAGCCGCCGCCTCGCCGAGCGAGAGACCGCGCCGTCGGAGGGGGCCAGGCCGCCCCGCGGCATCGGGACAGGAAAAAGATCGCGACGGTCTGGCACGCCGTCGTGTCGAATTCGCCCAGGTACGCAAGCGGGAGAGCCCGCGGGCTCGGTGGCCTCGAAGTTCGGGGAGCAGGCGGCCACGCGTATACCTCCACCCCGTTGCGTCGTCATGACTTCCCTCCGCCGCCGTCCCCCGTGGGACCCTTGCGACGGAGCTCTCGTTCCTCCCGCGCCTTCCTGATATTCTTCATGATGGCGGCGCCCTTCTCGACCTGGCCCTTCGCGAACTCGAGGAGTGCTGGCGCGACCATCAGCAAGTCTCCTGCCTTGCTGAAGCCGCTGAACGCCGAGAACTCCTCAGGGCTCATCTTGTCCTTCGAGCTCGCCGAGTCTGCCTCGCGCAGCTTGTCGTGGTAGCACCACTCGATCGTCTGGGCACGACGGAAAAGGGGCCTCGGCGAGCGCGCAGTTGCTCAGGTCGAGCTGGTCGTAGGTGCCGGCCAGCTCGATCTGTTTCATGAGCTGCTCGTGCTCCTGGACGCCCCGCTGCTCTAATTGGAGCCTCGCCGTCGTCTTGAACATGAGGTGTCGGTCGGTCGGCGTGTGGCGGCGCCACAAGAAGTCGAGACACCACCGAGCCGACCAAGGTCCCGCCACTGGGAAGTCCCCGAATGGCTTCTCCTCGCAGGCGTCCACCACCTCGCGCCACTCGCGGCCGCGGCCGCGCGTCCTGCACTTCACCGCGAGCGTCCTGGCGCCCCCGCTGGCTCCCGAGGCACCAGCCGAGAAGCTGGCAGTGTCACCGCCGCGCAAGCTCGCCACGAACGCCTCCTGGTCCAACCCCGTCAGGTGCACCACCACCGCGCGGCCTGGCCCAGCGTGGAACAGGCCCTTGCCGCACAGCTCGTGGGCGGGGGAACCGACCTCGTCGCCGACAACGATTCGGTTGTGCTCGTCCGGCTCCGCCGCCCGCCAGACCAGCCCACTCGAGCGGGGGGTCGCCATGCCTCCTGCAGCCGCCGCGCCTCCGCCGATCCCCTCGGCTGCCCCGCCGGCGTCAGCAAGCGGCTCGCCGCCACCTCCTGCAGCGCCGGCGCCAGCGCCTGCGGGCGGTCGCCCACCAAGCGGCGCCCGCCGAAGCTGGTCCCCGGCGCCTCCTCGACTGCGATGTCCCGGCCGAGAGAATTCCTGATCGTCGCAGGGAGGTCCAGCACCGTCCCGCGCGACCGCGCGTCCGCCAGCGCCGGACCGCAAGTTCTGCGGAACAGGCCACGCATCTCGGCGTCACTCGGCGACGCGTCGAAACGATACGCACGCCCGAGCCCCGCTGGCAGACGCAAATCCCGGGGCACCTCGAGCCACTCGACCGGGCTGTCGTCCGGCGAGCTTCCCTCCAGCTCCTCAATGTACATGTCCATGTCGGGGCTGAGCACCACCCAGCAAGCCCAACGGCCGCTGCGCTCGGCGGCCCCATTGGCTGCTGGGTAGAGCAGGATCCGCTCGTGCCAGAGGTACCTCGTCCTCGGCGTAGCGGACCACCGCCCTGCTGCCGGGGATCAGCCACGACGACGACGCCCTGGGGACCAGCGCCATCGGGCCGGCCGGAGGCACTCTGCACCTGCGTCATCAGCCGGCCAAAGCCGCAGCCCACGAGCAGAGCGAGGATCGCCAGGCTCGCCGCAGCCGTCCAGCCGACGCAGCCCCCAGCCGCCTCTCGCATTTCATTGCGTTGCGTCGCGTTGCTTTGCATTGCTCGGTGTTGCAATCGCATTGCTTTCCAACGCTTTGCGCCACATAAGTTGCCCCACCCATATTGCAGCACATTGACCGCACGACCTAGATTGCACCACGTAGATGGCAGGAAATCGCTGCTTGGGGCCCACGCGGGCCAACATTTCCTCGTCTTATCCCGCCCCCACGATTTGATTCTCGGAGGCCTTCTTGAATCGCCTGGGGGCCCCCTGGAGCTCTCGCTGTGCTCTCTTGGGCCCGTCCGAAGGGAGAGCGGGGGGGGGGGCGACTGGGAAGTCACCCTGGTCGGTCGTACGCCCCCCTCCCCTCCCCCCCCCGCGGTAACGCCCGCCGTCGCCAGGGGATAGAACAACGACAACAACGGTAACGATCACGACGATAACGATCACGGTCATAAAGATAATGATCGTTGTGATCTTTGTTTTTGTTGTTATCGCTGTGATTATTGATCGCGATCGTTGTGACCGTTGTTATCGTTATTATCGTTGCTATCATTACACTCGCTGTCTCAATCTGACTCTGCTCCCCAAATCGGCCTATACCCAAGGAGCCACGCTGTCGGAAAGCCGCGATCGCTGAAGGCTGAACTGAACTATGCAAGCAGTGTGGGTATCCAACGCCGACGTCATCGCGACGTGAACTTTCCGTATCCGATTGTCGGAGCTGCATCCCCTGCATGCACGGCCGCACGCCTCACGACGCTTCGCTCGTGTTCATAGTTGATCGTTCACCGCGTGCAACGAGCTGCCTCCCCCGAATTGCCTCACCGTCAAGTTTCGGAGGAGTAGGAGGAGGAGTAGGAGGAGGAGTAGGAGGAGGAGGAGGAGAAGGAGGAGGAGGAGGAGGAGGAGGTTTCGGGCGGGTGGGCAGCGAGGAGTAGGAGGAGGAGGAGGAGGAGGAGGAGGAGGAGGAGGAAGAGGAGGAGGAGCAGGAGGAGGAGGAGGAGCCCCGCGCGAATTTCTTAGATCGGCGCTGGACCCTCCTCCCGAGCGCGTGGAGCGCGCCTGGGGGCGGCGCCGGGGGCGCCCCCGGGGGGCGCAGCGCCGATCCAAGACATACGTGCAGAGCTCGGAGTCATTATATTAGGGGGAAGACAAACCTACCTCGCTTTTGACCACCCTCGCTTCCAAGAGATACCAAGCGATGCCAAACTGCGGCCTGTGCTGTTCAGGCCGCTTGACGAGGAGTCGCGTGGTATGACCTGGTTTTGCCTGGAAGCGAAAGCGGGGTGGGTAATTCACGCTCTGATATATGCACGCCGTTGTTCATCCTTCGGCCACCTCTGACTCTTCCCCCATGGCCTGGGAGTTGGTGGAACCCCCTGTCGTGGAGTGGCCGTGGACACCACCGCCGCCCTCACCAGATGCAGTCAACACGTTGATCGAGGACGGGTGGTGAGGACGCAAGACCCTTGGAGGCCGAAGTCGTTTTTTTTGGGGCGGGGGGCGGCCAGTGAAAACGGCGAAGGACGGGCCGCAGAGGCAAGGACTCAAGGGCACCCTAGATGAAGGCACGCGTCCTTACTAGGCGCGTTGACTGTATAGAAAGAGACCCCCGAGGCTCTGAAGTCTTCCATGCAAGCATATTCCTGAACCGACGCCCCCACCGTCACACAGAGATAGCCCTCGGCGGCGAGCGAGGGGGGGACGTGAGAAGAGAAAGGCCTTCTCAGAAGGCGGCGGGTCCGGGATCTGCTGGCCCGGGTCCATCCAGACCCGGGTCCGTCGGGCCCTGCAAGATCCAGCAGGATGCTTCAGCTCGCCATCGCTCGGACGTCCATTCCTCGTGTATTTGTCGATTTCGTGCATGCTTTTTTTTCGCACAATAATCAAGGATGGTCCTCGATGGCCGTCGCCGAGAAAAAAATGCGCACGTCCGAGCGATGCCAAGTCAGGATCCTGCAGGATCCTGCGCCCAAGCCCTGGTCACAGCACCCCTGGCCCTGCAGGGTCCTGCAAGAGCTGGCGCACTGACCCACCCCCGTTTTGGCACTGACCTCCGTCTCTTCCGCCCCGAGCGGGGCTTCTCAGACGGCCTCCGGCCTTCTGATGGGTGCTTTGCGTCTCCGGGGAAGGCCCAGAACACTTCTCGGAAGGCCAGTGGGGGCTTCCGAGCGTTCTGGGAATGACCGCCCCTTCTTGAAGGAGCCCTGGGACACACAAATAAATTCACACAAATAAAAGGGGTCCCCATATTTTCTGATATCTTCTGGGTTTTTGTCTTCCCCCCCACTTCCCATATTTTCCCATATTTTCTGGGGAATCGACGATTAATTGTGTCCGTGTGCTTTTTTCCCTCCTGAGCTTTGCGTCTCCGGGGAAGGCCCTGAACACTCCTCGGAAGGCCAGTGGGGGCTTCCGAGCGCTCTGGGAACGACCGCCCCCTCTCGCCTCCCCCTCGGGCCCGCCGCCGACCCACGCCCCCACAATACAACAACTGTCTCACTCCCAGGGCATTCCCAGGAATGAGGAGGAGGAGGAGGAGGAGGAGGAGGAGAAGGAGGAGGAGGAGGAGGAGGAGGAAGAGGAGGAGGAGGAGGAGGGGGAGGACGAGGACGAACCGGGCTGAACCGAACCGGCGCGAACCGGCACTTTCCCCAACACGAGCCGAGCCAGACCGGAGTGGTCGTGTTTGGCAACTCGAGCCGAACCGAAGCGAACCGTGAACCGGACCGAACAGGACCAAACCAGAGCGTGGACGCCACATTGAATCCG